CAAACCCACCAGCCACTCCTCGGAAGGAAGGTTGGGCAATCCTACTTCCGTAGTGATACTGCCTTGGAAACCCAAGGAGGGGTAGCTATGAGTCGCAGGCCGACTGGACGGCAAATACAACAACAACATAAGGAGGGAGCTCTGGTGGCGTAGTGCCTGAGGCATTTGACTGCTAATCAGAAGCCTGGTGGTTCTATCCTGCCAGGAAGGCCTCATCTAAGGCTTCAAGGATTGCACATAGTACCCAGTAAGGTTAGTGATCCATGGTCACTGCTGACTTAGTCCTTCGCGTGGATGTCATACTTGTACTGCACTATTAGCTCTTTGAGGGCCTGGGTTGGGTTTATTTTACCCAAGCCGCCAACTCAACAGTACCTTATACACAGAAAACATATCCTAAATCTTTCAAGTAATTAAATGGCCAGAATATTATAAATGAAACTAATCTGGGAAACATGGAACTTCTCCCCACGTTCTTTTCCAGGACTTACTTCTCAGGTAAAACTTGGAATAAAGTAGCCACTAACTAAACCAAAAGTTTCCTATTCACCTCACTCTAAGGAATTGAAGTTATCTTAGATTCCTTCCTGTTTTATACCCTGATAATATCTAATCAGTATTTAAGTCCTATCACTGTAGTCTTTCCAGTTTTTCCTGTCTGGCCACTCTAAATACAATCTTTCCATGATCAAATCCATTCTGTGTGTCTTTCATCAGTCTACTTATAATGTCAACACTTGGTTTCGGTTTTAGAGCATAATCAGTATTTCACTTGTCACTAACTGAAAGAAAAAAATGAACTTACGTATTATTCAGTATAATAAATGACACAGTAAGATCTGGCAGAATTTATTTAATAAAAAACTACAAGTAATAATAATAATTTAAAAACCATCTGAGGTAGAAGCAACAATTTTAACATATTTAATGTTCATTTAAAAAAAAAAAAAAAACCCTCAAGAGAAACAGAAGATTTCTCCACAGAAGATGTAAACACTGAGGTTAAAATCTGTCACCATATATATAAATTAATGATTTTGAGGCAATTTTGTTTTATAAAACATCTTTACAAAAAAAAGGGGAAAACTGAGTAATGCCCCAAAACAAAGGAGCATATTAGCATGAATGCTGAAAATAGGAATATGACTTTTTGTCATCAATTTTCTCTCAGAAATGAGTAAGCGTTATTTTTTTCTTTATCGGAATCTACTAGGATACTGAAAATAAAAAGTGGGAATGGGAGCAGGGAATTAATTGGAATTAATTAATCAGTCATAACTTAAAAGGCTAGATTTAAATTGAAAACACATCTGATGGTAGGGAAAGATACAACAAAATGGCCTTTGAATGGGGGACCTCTATAGACATAGGAAAAGAATCATACCTATGTTCTTATCATCATAAGACTGTGTTTAAATAATGAAAACTAATCAACTTTCTTTACCCCATCTTTGTAATAACCAAAATTCTTACTATAAAATCTAAAAAATCAAATTAGACTAGAAATTTTAGACTTAAAAGTTTAAGCTTAAATCCAAAAATTTATCCATTTTTAAAGGTGGTAACAACTTTATCTAACTTTTTTTCTAGATTGTACAAAAATACATTTATAATGCCTATAAATTTAGACTCTTCACAGTTTAGAGTACACTTATACTAACAAAAATTAATATGGTGTTAAATTTTGTATGGTGGCAAACTTTATGTTTAACAAGATTATACTCTAAAAATAAATAAATAGAACTCTGAACAGAGTACATTTACTTCATTTTGTACCCTTTGGTACAAAAACTGGGCACTGGTTTTCCAGTATGCTCACATCACCAATAGTCAGCACGCAGCAGCTAGGGGAAACCACTGCCCTGGTATGAAAAAGGCAAAGGAAATAGTGTTTTATCCTCTTTGAAAATCACCTAATGCATAGCAAAGACTTTCATGTTCTTCTGATGGCAGATCAATGATGTAAAATAAACTAAGGAAGATATATATAACACAATATGGACATACAAAACTATTTCATCACATTATTCTTTAACATTTTGTAATTTGGCTTACAAGATGACTAAACAAATATAAAGATCTTTATGGCATTTTATGGGTAATAATGTACTTAAGCAATTAAGATCTATACATCTTAAACTGTGGTCAATGACATGAGACAAGGTATATGTGACCTGCTGTATGGAAAGTGAATTTGCTCTGTAAATCTTCACCCAAATCACAATAAAAAAATAAAATAATAAATAAATAAATAAATAAGATCTATACATTTTAGCCTAAGATCTTTATATAAGTTCTTTTAAAGGTAATCTATTTTCAAAACAATCTACTTACTATAGGACAACAGGTAATTCTCCATTGTCCATAGTGTTTTGTCCTGCTAAAAAATATATACATGCTAAATTTGGGATAAGAGGGGCTGGAAGAATAACCAATCTTCCTAGATGTCCTAGGCATATAGTTTCAGGGTAGCAATCAAGTCCCTCTTCTCCCTTTTCTCTTTACAAACCGTCCTTCTCCATCACCTTCACTATTTGTTCAACAAAACTCCCAGTGACAGTTTTTCTCTCTGTCTTTTGTAGAATCAGATCTTTGAAACTGGCCCATGGAAAACATAGGGCAATGAGTTTTAATTTATAAATACAGTACATATAATAGCACAATCAAACATGACAACACACAGACCAAAAAAGGATATTAGTTTTTCTGAGTTGAGATGACAAAGTAGCCTCTCTAATGGAGGATAGTAGTTTAATGTGGGCACACATCCAAGGAGAATTAGTTTATGTTTGGCTCTGGTTATAGCAACATTAAGACGTCGCCAATCTTTCAAGAGTTCACCAACCTGTGAGACATACAATTTTCAGTTATCTGAGTTTTCTAATTATATATTTCAATCAGTTCTGACAAAGAACATGCATTATCTTAAACTATTTTCCTACTTTAAGAAAATGGATGGCAGAAGAGCTTCATCAATGCATTTAAAATTCTAGGTAGTTAGAAAAACTTGCCTACCACGCCAACTGCAAATATTTTATAGCATAGTGCCTAAGGCACCTGACTGCTAACCAGAAGGCTGATGGTCCAAACCCACCAGCCACTCCTCGGAAGGAAG